TTTAGATGGTCTTGACTATGAACAAGTGTCTGATGCATTTAACTACTTACCTGAATAGGCAATTCTTCTATGCTACAATATGTGGGCTATTTGGGCTTTAGCGAACGAGCGACAAAATCGGCAAACATTTTACTGCAATGTGCACTTTCGCCAGAAGACTGGCAGCTGGTTCAACTATATTTTAGTGTCAAGCTTAGTATAACAACTATTTTGAGACCATATGCTCGAAGCAGTTTCATGATCCAAAACAGATGCATTCCACTTCATGTGAAGGCGAGTACGGCTGTTAACTTTATTATTTTTATACAGAATATAATCAGGAAAGCATAATAACAAGTAGTGTTATAATATAATACTAAGGACTTGATTTGCAGCTAAATAAAGCCGATTGTAAATCAAAAGGAAAGAATTTTTGGCTTTTAATTGCCCAAAGCACCTTGAATATTATTTATTTCCTCTCAACGACCAGTGAAAAAGTTCAAGTCGTTACTTAAGAAAGTAAGTCGAATCATATATAGCTTTGTTATAATGACTAATAATTATGTACGTAAACACAAAAAAACAGAGGAGAAGTAATCACATTCAAAGAGGGCATCGTTGAGATCAACGACAACGGAATCTAATCCACACACAACAATGAATGAGAACTCGATTTCTTGTCATAAGATAATAATATCTTGGCTTAAACTACTAAATTCATCAGAATATATAAAGTGTGATTGAAAAAATAAATGTAGCTGAAGCAATAAAAATATAATTAGGCATTCCTGGTGTATTGCTGGTGTACCCATAAGTGGAGACCCTCCGAAGCTCAGAAGTAAAGATGCATCCCAAAGAAGTAAGTCATTTCTAGATCGGGTCCTAAACACTTCATCTAATCAGCTTTAGGCATAAATAATTCTAAAATTTGTTGTCATAAAGTGATGAAGGAGCAAGACTTATTGATCAGTCAAGTTCCGGATTCGGCTGAGTTATTTTGGGAATAGAAATTGATTTGTCCATTCTAAATGAGAATTGCATAATACAAGTGAGTTGAAACGGAGGTCGTTAGTGAGTTTTGTATATAAACTAATGAACATCGACGAGGCCTAATTTATTATCGTTGGCATTCGCCGAAAAGATAATATACAAAGGTCGAAGTAGGATAAAGAATGCTCTTATCTAAGGACATCTAGCAGTGAAATATAGAAACTTAATATGAGTTTTTAAGGATCATGGAAAGGCAATAATGGGCACAGGATGCCTTTTCTCACAAAGGTCAGTATTTACACAAAGACAGAGGTTCAAAGAAGATGGCCAATCGTCTTCCAGGCAAAATTGTTAGCAAAAGATGCGTGCAACAAATTTATTAAATGAAAAGAATGTATTTATGCAATAGCATACTAAAGAAATATTACTTCTAACCATTCATAAAGTAGGGCAGCGTTTTTATATGGTGTAAAAAATTATCAAAGCCACTTCAGTTAGAAATTTCTCCCACTGCACCAGAATAAATAAAATATGTGAGGGAGCATTGTGTGCAGACCACTCATGCAAGACTATTTTATGTTTGCAATGCGTCAGGCCTTCTTTTTGAACTTTGTGGGTACACAATGTCATAGAAGGGCAGTACTTTCAAGGAAATAAAAATAGTCTGACATGATAAAATATAATTTTGATCATTGTTACTCTATAGTAGGCTACTGAATGGATCAGTAAAGGCTATCTAAGTGACTCCTAATTAGATAAAAAAGAGAATTCCCTTATAAGTCTGCATATATGACGAAGCCTGGTGGAGCTTCACCATAAAAGCAAATGTACAGTTTGCTATACCTACTCTTCTGATTTCCTTTGGTTTCAAGATGAAGTTGCCTTCTGAGACCAACGGTAAGCAGTCTAATGCTGCTTTACTCAGTTGTCTCACCTCCCACCCCTCCAAGTGAACCGTTGAGTCTGAACCCAGCCCCGCTTGTCTCTCAGCTCTTGTCTTAACACTTGAACTTGTAGAGGGGCCAGCCAAGAGAGTTGTTCCGCAGTTTGTGCCAAACTTTCTGTGGTTAGGGATGTGGCCACTCTTTATTTTCGGCCGTAGAGTAAGCAGAAGGCTATCTGTGTTTGTAAGCCGATTAGGATCAAAGAGAAAGAATCCACGATGTTGCTTGGTCATATTAGAATAACCTTGTTGCTTTGACTCGATTCTGACCTGGATACCGACAGATGTTTCGTTTAGGCTAGTGACCCGAAGCACTCGCAATAACAGAATATGCTCTGAAATGCGTGATGAGCTGAGGGAGCCAAGTTCAAAGTTATGAGAAGCTGGGAATTTGATCGGTAATTGGGCTGGCAAGGATGATTTCTGCAATCCGTAATTCCTCTGTGATGATACCGAGGAGGCAACAGAAGACGACTGTAGAGATATCACATCCTTGGTCAAACGAGTTTGCGACTTTAGCTCTTGTCGGCCATCAGAAACTGAGCTCGTAATGTTAGGAGCTATTGCCAAAATCATTGAGTCTGCTGGGGTTTGACGTAAGTGGTCTGTTTGCCTAGAGTTAGGCTCATGCTTCTGGCGCCAGTCCTGAGAATGGCATTGTTGTGAAGACGATAAAGGGCGCCAGGTAGGCGTAGAGGCAAGAGCCTTTTGCTGCTCGCCTGCACCGAGGGCCACAAGAAAACAGCTGAGACCCGCCTCAAAGACAAGTCTCGGGGGAAAGGGTGCATTTCGCTGACTCCAACCAGCCGGAAAGTCCAATGGATCCTCATCCAACCCCAAACGCAACCTGATGAAATGGTGAAGAATAAGTGAAAGCAAATAAACTGATTTCCTAGCTAGTGAAAATCTGTTAAGATAGATATTTGAGGAATTGTCTCCTTCATTATAATATGCAATCAAATCATGAAAATAGGTGGAGGAGTAAGATGACCAAACGGCCTTTAATTTAGTTTAAAATGAATTAGCCAAAATTGGTTATTATAAAATTTTAATATAACTAAACGCTAAGAAGTGGAATTCAAAACATCTTTTAAAATTCTCATGCCATCGTGAACTATATCCAGCATGTAAAGTTGAGTGGAGGAGTTAACATCTTTGCATAATTGGAAAACAAGGGCTGATTGTATGAACTGACTGTGATTATACTTGAGTGAAATATCATCAAGAGCTTAG